GGGAGGCACTGGGGGTCACTGGAGGTCAATGGGAGGCATTGGGGGTCGCTGGGGGTCAATGAGAGTCAATGAGAGGCATTGGGGGTCAATGGGGGTCAGTGGGGGTCAATGGAAGGCACTGGGGGTCACAGGGGGTCACTGAGGGTCAATTAGAGGCATTTGAGGTCAATGGGGGTCAATGAGGGTCAATGGAAGGCACTGGGGGTCACTGGGGTCAATGGGAGGCATTGGGGGTTGATGGGGGCCAATGAGGGTCAATGGGAGTCAATGGGGGTCAATGAGAGTGAATGGAAGGCACGGGGGGTCAGTAGGGGTCAGTAGGGGTCAGTGGGGGTCAATGGGGTCAATGAGAGGCATTGGGGGTCAGTAGGGGGTCCCAGAATCTGTGGGTGCCCCATGGGGCCCCCCATCCTCACCCTGCGGAAGGCGGCGGCCATATTCCCCAGCCCCACCTGGGGGAGGTTCCCCACGATGGGCAGCGCCATCGGCCCGGGGGGGTAAAGATGGCGGCCGTGGCCCCCCCCCAGCCACCAGCGCCGGAGCAGCAGGGCCAGCAGCAGCAGCAGCAGCAGCCATGTGAGCCACAGTGCGTCCATGGGGCTGTGGGGGGGTGAGGGGGGGAGATTGGGGGTACTGGGGTCAATGGGGGCATTGGGGCAATGGGGGCAATGGGGATATGGGGGGGCAATGGGGGGCAATGGGGGCATTTGGGGGAAATGGGGGCATTGGGAACATCGGGGGCAATGGGGTCAGTGGGGACATTTGTGGGAAATGAGGGCATTGGGGGCATTGGGGACACTGGGGTCAATGGGGTCAGTGGGGGGAAACGGGGGATACTGGGGGGCAATGGGTACATTGGGATCAATGGGGGCAACGGGGACATTGGGGACACTATGGGGCATTGGGACCAATGGGATTGATGGGATCAATGGGGACACCGGGTACATTGAGATCAATGGGGGCAACGGGGACATTGGGGACACTATGGGGCATTGGGACCAATGGGATTAATGGGATCAATGGGGACATCGGGTACATTGGGGTCAATGGGGGCAATGGGGACACGGGGGGCATCGCTGGGGGCAATGGGGGCAATGGGGACACGGGGGGACATCGCTGGGGTCAAGGGGGGCACTGTGTGACCTTGAGTGACCTTGGTGCCGGCGCTCCGCTGCTGCACCCTGCGTGCTGCAAAACCCCAGTGCTGCAAAACCCCACTGCTGCAAACCCCATTGCCTTGCAAACCCCATTGCCTTGCAAACCCCATTCCCCCCCTGCAAAATGCCTCCCCCATTTGCAAACTTCATCTCCTTCCTGCAACCCGCCCCCTTTTGCCAACCCCCCCAGCCCCTGTTGCAAACTGCACCCCCTTCTTGCAATCCTGACACCTTTTGCAACCCCCATCCCCTTTTTGCACCTTTATCCCCTTTTGCAATCCCTGCCCCCCTTT